AACTACTTCCTAAAAAACAGGAACAAACTTTGACATAATCAACTTAAAAAAAATACGTGGACATGTTTCAGTCCTGAAGCACTCTTCCAACACTCCTCCTTGCTTTAGGAGCTGCAAACACCAAGTTTTGTTCTCAAGTCTTCAAATCTGCTCACTGGCAATGGCTTGGTGAAGATGTCAGCAACTTGTTCCTCTGTTCTGCAATAAATTAGCACAACATCTCCTTCTTTCTGCACTTCCCTCAAGAAGAAAAGCTTGATGTTGAAGTGCTTGGTCTTTCCGTGGAACACTGGATTGTGGGAGATGGCAATGGCAGCTTGGTTGTCAACAAGAATCTGCGTGCTTTCCTTCTGCTTCAGATTAAGATCATTCAAGATTTTTTTCAGCCACAATGCTTGGTTAGCAGCTGTTGTGGCAGCAACAAACTCAGCTTCTGCAGTGGATTGAGCCACTGTTTCCTGCTTCTTAGAGCTCCATGAAAAAACACCAGATCCAAAAGTAAAACAGTAGCCTGAAGTGCTCCTCATATCATCAGTGGAACCTCCCCAGTCACTGTCAGAAAAACCAATCAGCTTGAACTCCATGCTCCTTGTGAACTTAATACCAAAATTACTTGTGCCTTTGACATATCGAATCACTCTTTTTGCAGCCTTGAGATGCAGTTCACTTGCACAATGCATGAATCGAGACAAAATACTTACAACATTCAAGATATCAGGTCTTGTTGCTGTGAGATACATCAGGCAGCCAATCAAACTCCTGAAATATCTTTCATCAACTTTGTCAGCACCATCTTCTTTGCACAACTTCTCCTTTTGATTCATTGGTGTGCTTACTGCCTTGCACTCCTCCATCTGAAACTTCTTTAGTATTTCCTTTGCATACTTTTTTTGGTAGATGAAGACTTCACCTTGCCCTTGCTTAATCTCCATACCAAGGAAGTAGGACATGAACCCAAGATCTGTCATTTCAAACACCTTCATCATCTCCTGTTTGAAATTTTGAATATGATCTGTATTGTTTCCTGTAACCAATAGGTCATCAACATACAGTGAAACAATAATAATGTCAGTACCATTGTGCTTGACATACAAGGTTGATTCGGATAAGCTTTTCTTAAACCCCAAATTCAGCAAGTGATCATCCATTCTGCTATACCAAGCTCTCGGAGCTTGCTTCAATCCATAAAGAGCCTTCTTGAGAAGAAAAACTTTATCTTCTTCTCCCTTTTTCACAAAGCCTTCTGGTTGTTCTACATAAATCTCCTCCTGCAGAAAACCATTCAGAAATGCTGACTTGACATCTAACTGATACACTTTCCAATTCTTTTGTGCTGCAACAGCAAGCAAAAGTCTGATGGTGTCAAGTCTTGCTACTGGTGCGAATGTATCGGAATAATCCACACCAAACACTTGAGCATACCCTTTAACCACGAGCCTAGCTTTATGCTTGTTGATTGAGCCATCAGCATTAAGCTTGGTTCTGTACACCCACTTGACTCCAATCACCTTCCTGTTTTTGGGTCGATCAACCAACTCCCAAGTGTTGTTTTTCACAATCATGGACAACTCCTCCTCCATTGCAGCCATCCAATGCTGATTCGTCTTTGCTGCATCAAAATTTGCAGGTTCACAAACAGCTATGTTGCATCTTGGATAAATCTCAGATAATGGTCTAGTGCCTCTTATAGGAACATCATCTACATCTTCATTATGCCAGTTTTCATCTCTGTTTTCTTCCGTGTCTGAAATAGGAAGTTTGAACCTCAACTCTGTCATGGTCTGCTTTCCTTTTTCTGAATCATTCCAGCTCCACTCTTCATCTTCTATGAAATACACATCTCTACTGATAATTAGCTTCCCAGTTTTAGGCTGATAAACTTTGTAGGCCTTAGAGGAAGAACTGTAGCCCACGAAGATGCCTGGTTCAGCCATCTTGTCAAGTTTATCACGCTTGACTTGAGGAATATGTGAAAAACACAGGCAACCGAACACTCTAAGAAACTTGAGTGAAGGTTTATAGCCATACCATGCCTCAAATGGTGTTTTTTCCTTTACTGCCTTTGTGGGTAGCCTGTTTTGAAGAAATACGGCTGTACTTGCTGCCTCTGCCCAGAACCTTTTTGGCAAATTCTTCTCATGCAACATACATCTTGACATCTCCATGATGAACCTATTTCTCCTCTCACTGACTCCATTTTGCTGAGGAGTGTACGGGGCTGTTAGTTGATGCTCAATGCCTGCTTCTTCACAAAACTTGTTGAATTTTGTTGAAGTGTACTCCTTTCCGTTGTCAGACCTCAAGATCTGAATTTTGAAGTCACTTTCATTCTCAACTCTTGCCTTGAACTTCCAAAAAACTTGAGCTACTTCTGATTTAAACTTTAGGAAAAAAATCCAGCACATTCTGGTGAAGTCGTCAATAAAGGCAATGTAATAAAGACTACCTTTAAGGGAAGGTGTTCTTTGAGGACCTGAGACATCCGTGTGAATCAATTGTAGCTTCCTCATAGCTCTTCCTGTCATCTTTGAGAAAGGTTTCCTGTTCTGTTTCCCAAACTGACACGCTTTACAACTTGAAATTTGATCATCAAGTTCTGGAAGGTCATTTGCCATCATCTTGAACTTCATTTGCAGCAGCCCTTGGTGATGGTAGTGCCCTAGCCTTTTATGCCACACTTCTGTAATGTTTTCTTTGATTGGGAAAGCAGTTTGCTCCTCCTCCAATGGATTTAAAGCAAAACTTTTCCCTTTCATTTTCACTTTGAAAATATCCTGATTTGCTGCATCTTTAATCAGGCAATATTTGTTTTCAAAAACAACCTTAAAGCCTCTTTCAATTAGTTGACCAACACTTAACAAGTTTTGCTGAATTTCAGGGACAAAGAGAACATCATGAATTAGTTTTGTACCTGAACAACTTGTTATAGCAACTTTTCCCTTTCCTTTAACTGAAATATATTCACCATTACCAATTCTGACTTTGGTGATGTTGGTGGGCCTCAATTCTTTGAAAAGTTCCTTGTCATGCGTCATGTGATTGGTGCAGCCACTGTCAATTAGCCAACTTTCTTTAGATGCAACACCTACAAAACAAGTAGCCACAAAGAGTTGATCCTCTTCCTCTTGGTCAGCAATCTTAGCCTCTTCACCTTGTAGTTGATTCTTGCTCCTGCAAATTACAGCTTCATGCCCCAATTGGTTACATTTGGTGCACTTGGCGTCTGGTCTTCTCCAGCATTTGAAAGGAGGATGACCCTTTTTATTGCAATGTTGACATGGAGGGTAGGATCCCTTCTTGACTCCTGATTTGTTGTTGGCTGAAGATTCTCCAGTAGAATTTTGATTCTTCTTGAAAAACTTCTTCTTGTTGTTGTTTCTTGCATTCTCATGATGCTTGGCTAGCAAGGCTCCTTCATAGCACCTTCTTGTCTCATGGCTCTTCTTTGCTCCTGTGCTTGCAAAGCATTGAGAACCTCTGCAAGAGTGATTTAACTCGGATCCTTGGTATTTTCCAAGGTCGAAATAGATGCCTCAAATTTTTCAGGCACTCGTTACAAGAATTTTCCGAACAATTCTTGAGTCCTCGAACGTAGAACCAAGTAATCCGATTCGGTTTGCAATGTCCAATAACCTATCGAATACTCTTTAATTGATTTTGTTTCCTTCATCTTCTGCAACTCAAATTCTCGAATCAAGTTTAGCACACGCATTCCTTTGATTCTTTCATCTCCCTCGTACTCTGACTTGAGATAATTCCATATCTCATATGCTGATTTCAGTGTCATAATCCTAGTGAAGATAGTAGATGAGACTGCAGCGAACAAACATGCCTTTGCCTTGGATTTCCTTGTCTTCTTCTCCTTCTGCAATTTGATCTGCGCCATGGTAGGATTGTTTGGGAGAGCAGGAATTTCATAATCCTCTTCCACTGCTTCCCAAATATCCAAAGCTTCCATATATGCCTCCATACGAACTGCCCAAACCTGGTAGTTGTCTCCATCAAACACCGGTGGAGAAATTGAAGAGTAACTGGAACTTGCTTCTACGTCCATGACACAGCAACCTCACACACTTACTCACAGATCCCTTAAGAAGAAAGCTCTGATACCAATTGTTGGTTTTTTAGGCAAAGAACTGAATAATTCATTTTTCAATATTAGAAACATTGCAATATTTAAAGCCTAAAAATAACTGACCACTAACAACATGATCCTAAACTTTCTCCATGATTACAAAACATGGAAAACTACTTCCTAAAAAACAGGAACAAACTTTGACATAATCAACTTAAAAAAAATACGTGGACATGTTTCAGTCCTGAAGCACTCTTCCAACAAGTGCAAATGATGAAGCAAAATCTGAGAAGATGGCAAGTCCATCCTACCTTTTTGCTATAGAAAGTAAACCTCATTTACCTTTTGGCTTCTAGTTGTCTAGCTTTTTTAACTTAATCATCCAACTATTTTTGCACCACTCTTATCAGAGTTTGGTTATGATAACAAGTCAAATTCTTCTAATGATATGGTAAAACTTGTTTGGTATCACACTGGTTGTGGATAAAAATGAATCTCTCTGAGTTTAGTGAAACTGAGAGGTCAGGATTTGTTTTTAGCATGGCATGTTCGTTTCTTAAAAATAATAAATTAGCAGTATCACATGACCTACATTGCCAGTAATGAAGTGCTTGTGTTAATATAAAGAGTGAAAACCCCACTCCCCAACTGAAGGAATAAATGAAAGTCAGACTGACGAGTTTTTAAACAAAAAGTGTTTTTTTTTTTTTTTCTATTTTTTTAGTTTCTTATAGGTGTTTATGCTTTGACAGGTATTAAGAACCATTCAGATACTTGCAGACCCTTTGCCTAAAATTGTTCCTTACGTCCTGATCGATCATCATGAGGTGGCTAATCACTTTTTTATTTTTTTAATTACGCTTATGCAATCTTCAACATATGTTGCATTAATGTTGCTTGGTTCCAAGAACTTCTTCCTCTAATGATGTGTGCAATTGAGCACCGCCCAGATAGCAGGACTCGAGATTCTCTGACCCATACATTATTCAACTTAATCAAGCGCCCTGATAAACAACAGAGAAGAAGAATAATGGAGGTAAGTTATATTGGTTACTTATGTCAGTTTAAAAATTCTGGTTTCAATGCAATTTTCCAAATTTCAGGCATGTGTCAGCCTTGCAAAGAATGTTGGAGAGATGAGAACAGAAACAGAGTTGCTTCCTCAATGATGGGAACAAGTATATTCTGGCCACAATTTTTCACTTTATTTGTCATTCTGCCCTAGAAACCAAGTTTTATGGTTTTTTCTGTTACGGAAATTAGATATATCACATGTACGACGAGCGTAGACTACCTGTTGCTCAATCATGTGGCGAGCTTGCAGAATTTGTGCTGCCTGAGATTCGGGATTCTCTTATTTTATCTATTGTGCAGCAGCTAATAGAACATGCTGCCATCATTATTCGAGAGGCTGCTGCTCATAATTTGCCTTTGCTGCTTCATCTTTTTCAAAACATGGATAAATATTTCAAGGTCAGCCTCACTATATATATGCTTCGAGGCAATCATGGAGAAGATTTCTGACTTTAAAGAATTGACTGCAATGTATGCTCTGCAGCAGGTTGACGGGACAGTACAGGAAATGGAGCCTTTTACCCTTGTGATAATATATGACGACTTAAAAAAAGAATAGAGATAAAGAGTTGGGCTAAATCTTTGTTTTATTTGTTGTTAGGTAGAGGAGTTGATGTTCCAATTGATATGTGATCCATCAGGAGTGGTGGTCGAAACTACTCTCAAGGAATTGGTTCCTGCAGTTATAAAGTGGGGAAACAAATTAGACCACGTTCTGAGAGTTTTGTTCTCACATATTGAGTGCTGCTCAGGTCTTTGTTTTTTCCTATGTGCATTCAGTTGTCCTTTGTGACTGAACGTAATTCTTGTTGGCGATTATTTCTGAGTCGAATTTCCTCCCTTGCATTGCAGCATTGTCCACCTCTTTCTGTAATTGAAGGGTGTATAGAGTCACATCTACATGTATTGGGTGAAAGAGAGCGCTGGAATATGTAGATGTTCTATTGAGAATGCTAGAGGAATTGATCCCTTTTGTGCCTCAGAAAGCAATTGAGACGCGTCCTTTCTTGTCCACAGTAGAATCTAGGCAAGTTGTGTTTTCTACCACATTGCTTGAATTGTATGCGAGGTAAACTTGGCACGAAATGTTCACTTTGAAATAATATCATTAGCACCAGTAAAAAAATTGATGCAACTGATCTTTTGGACTTAATGTCACACCCTTCCATACATGAGATCCTGCTTGGAAGATGGGGAAAGAGGGGAAATGGACGAATAGGTAGCTGGTAAAGTTTGGTTTCCAGAGCCCAGTAGAGTTATATGCTTGTCTTATTGTATTGTATATGCTTTGTAGGCATGCATATGTAGAAAGGCAAACTATGCTTGAATGCAGTACCAAAACAGTGTTTGATCTTGAATGGTTTCCACTTTTTCCAGGGGGCATGTTGAATGGGATGCATTTGAATGGATGCATGTTGAGTGCTTTCCCAAATTGATACAGCTGGCGTGCTTGTTACCCTGCAAAGAAGATAATCTAAGGAGCCGAATTTCAAAGGTCAGTCATTTATCTTTTCTGTTTTTTTCTTACTCTTTTTGTATGTTCTGTAGCATAAGCAAGCAACTAAGTAATTTCTGATGAAAATTATGAAATTGAAGTTTCTGTTATCTCTTTCTCAAAGGTTTGGGGATTCATATATGACATGCATCATGCTACCTGTATTTTTAACAGCAGTGGGAGATGATGCTGATTTGACATTTTTTCCTACTGCCATACATTCAAGAATTCAAGGTAATGATTCTTCAATTATTCTGTGAAATTTTGCGTAACTGGTTTATGTTTGACAGTTCACTTCTAGGTTTGAGGCCAAGATCTATTGTTGCGGAGAAGTTCTCGGCATTATGTGTCCTACCGCTTCTGTTGGCTGGTATTTTGAGTGCTCCTGGAAAACGTTATCAGTTAGAAGATTACATAAGAAAGTTGTTAGTAAAAGACAATTGGAAGGAGAATTTGCCAGCAAAGCAAACTCCCGAGGTCATTAAATCTTTCCGCTTCATTTGGTTTGTGTATAACACCTCTACGGTAAAAATTGATAGTAGTATTTTACCATTTTTAGTAATTAGCTTTCCTATAATACAGCATATATGAAGAAAATCATGGTATGATATTTAATATACTGTGGGAAATGGTTGTTAACACTGACGTGAACATGAAAATCAGAGCTGCCAAGCTTCTAAAAGCTATTGTAAGCTTAATGTTTTACTTTTTCAGTTTTCTGTAGTTAGATCTCCGAGATGCCAAAACTGACATAGTTCTTCAATAATAGGTGCCATATATTGATGCAATACTTGCTTCAACGCATTCTTTGCCTGCCCTAGTTACTCTTGGATCTGACAAAAACGTCAATGCTAAGTGTGCCAGCATTGATGCATTTGGTGTCGTGGCTCAACGCTTTAAAAATGAGATGGTATATGTTGCTAGTACATAACCTTGGTTTTGTTGGTAAAAAGTTGGTGCTGCTACACATTTCAAATTCCTGACCAAGGATGACATCTTGCAGATAATTGACCAGATACGGGTTCAAATTGGTGCTTTTCTTGAAGATGGATCCCATGAAGCTACTGTTTCCGTCATTCGTGCATTGGTGGTTGCAATACCAAATACAGCAGAGCAACTTAGAGATTATATATCCTTAACTTTTTTGTGTGGAAAGGAAATGTGCCTAGCTTTCTGATAAGATCTCTCATTTTTAGTTATTTGCATTTTCTATTCTTAAATTGTATCGTTTGTTTCTTACCCTTGATGTACATCTTTTATCCAAGATTTCTCAACTTACAGCCGTGCCCGCTACTACTTCAAGTGATTTGACGCGTCGGCGAGAGAGAGACAATGCTGTTTGTGTGGCAATTCGTGCTCTGGATGCTCTACAGGTTTGTTCAACTAAATAACTCGTCTTGCCACACACTAGTCAAGGAATTTTTCTGAAGATCAATGCAAGGGGTAATAATACTACTATTATTTTGGCGATATTTGTTAAGGAAAGGAGAAAGTTATTTTTATCATAATTATTCCATAGAATGGACCATTAGAAATGAACAGTATCCACAATTGCAAACGCCCATTAGAAACATTAAGCTTGTAATTAAATTTCAGTCCATGTGTTCATATATCTATTTTATCTACTGAATTGCATGCATATCAGAAAGTATAGGATTCGTAAAACAAAAGCACTGTGAGACATATAAATATATAACATTATGTTCTATCAGTAGGTGGCTATTAACTTTAAGCAACTACAGTAACATTGATAATACAACCATACTCATACAATATTGTACAATACCCCCCCTTTCCACATTATTTTTTTTAGCTAATGAAACACATATATAGACATATATACTTTTGTAATACGCATTCTCGTTCTTTTTTTGCCTTAGATAGCTACTGACAAAGTACCAATGCTGCATAAGAAACATTGGGGAGATATATATATATATTATATTATAAGGGTACATATAGTATTGTCGTAGTGATTGATTTGGGATATGGGTGGTGGAAATTAAGAGAGATATGATGATGATGATGATGTGATGTGATGCCATGCTCCATCTTGGAGGTTCCTATAGGTTGTTGGAAAGGGAACTTGGCCTGATTCAATACGCCTGATGTCCTCCACAAGGACATCATATTGCCTCTTAACTTCCTCTGGAGTTTTTCCACCAACAGCCCTTGCAATGTTGCACCAACAGTTTGTCATAAACTGCTTGAACTCTTTCAAACGCTCTGTTCTCCTCAGCTGTCCATCCGTTAGGGGAATAAGATGAAGACTTTGAATAGTTAATTCACACCACAAAACCAAAACAAGTCAATGGTGAGAAATACTTGAATTGAATGTGTTGCCACTTCCTTCTCCTTTTATAACCACAGCTTATCATGAAACCTCCCTCCTTTTTCTCACCTTCTCTGCGCCAAAAAAATCTCACCATTTGCAAATCACTCTTCATCAACTGATGTAAATGAACCTCATCCGCGCAAATCCCTCCTCATCTGTGGATTGGCGACAACAGTCCAGCATAGGAAGCACACAGAGAGTAAAGGTTTCACTTGATATTCAAAAATTGAGAAAAAGTGTTTTTAGAGGGCTTCTCTCATAGTTCTGTATTTATATAGATAAAAACTGATACAATAGCGAGATTACATTAAATGCACAGTCCTAGATTACTCCTCAGAACTAGGTGCAGAGATGATCTAACACTCAACCCCCTGCAGAGATTATCTAACACTCAACCTCCTACCTTAGGTATAATGATTACATATATTTTCTAATCTATTCCAACACTCCCCCTCAAGCTGGAGTATACAAGTTGTATGTACCAAGCTTGGAACAAATGAACTCAATCCGAGGTCCCCTTAAGGACTTGGTAAACACATCTGCGAGTTGGTCATTTGATCCAACAAACTCGGTACATATTTCTTTTGTCAACAACTTTTCACGAACAAAGTGACAATCAATTTCTATATGTTTAGTTCTCTCGTGAAATACGGGATTTGATGCAATGTGGAGAGCAGCTTGATTATCACAATACATCTTCATAGTCTGGATATCACAGAAGTTAAGCTCTTGAATGAACTGCTTTACCCATATAAGTTCACAAGTTAGTGATGCCATTGCCCTATATTCGGCTTCAGCTGTCGATCGAGCCACTACATTCTGTTTCTTACTTTTCCATGAAATAATGTTTCCTCCAAGGAAGACACAATATCCAGTGGTCCTGCCCAATCTGCATCACAGTACCCAGTGACCTGAATGCTTCCTTTATCTTCATATAACAATCCTTGTCCGGGAGCCTTTTTAAGATACCTTAGAATGCGAATGATAGCATTCCAATGACCAGCACATGGAGTCTGCATGAACTGACTAACCACTCCAACAACAAAAGATAGATCAGGCCTTGTAATAGTGAGATAAATCAGTTTTCCGACCAGCCTCCTATATCTCTCTGGATCAGAGAATACTTCACCTTCTTCTTTTGTTAATTTCTTATTTGGGTCCATAGGACTCTCTACAGGTTTACAGTCAATCATACCTGTTTCTTGTAATATATCAAGAGCATATTTTCTCTGAGAGATTACAACTCCATCTTTTGATTGAGCTACTTCAATACCCAAGAAGAATTTAGGCTTCCCAAATCCTTGGTTTGAAAATGTCTGCACAAGTACTCCTTCAGTTGAGATATTCCAACAGTATCATTTCCTGTAATGACTATATCATCAACATATACTATTAAGTAAACACATTTACCCAGAGATGTATGACAATAAAAGACTGAATGATCTGCTTCACTGCGTCTTAGCCCAAATTTTTGAATAATGGAGCTAAATTTTCCAAACCAAGCACGTGGTGATTGCTTGAGGCCATATAGAGAACGATGCAATTTGCATACTAGTTCAGACTCCCCCTGAGCAACAAACCCAGGAGGTTGCTCCATGTAAATTTCGTCCTCAAGATCACCATGTAGGAAGGCATTTTTGATATATAATTGATTAAGTGGCCTGTGACGAATGGCAGTCATTGCGAAGAACAGATGAATAGTGGTCATCTTGGCCACAGGAGAGAAAGTGTCACAATAATCAAGGCCATAAACCTGAGTGTACCCTTTTGCAACTAATCGAGCCTTGAGCCGATCAACCGCACCATCGTGGCCGATTTAACAACGATATACCCAGCTGGCAACCGATCGCCTTTTTGCCCGGTGAAAGGGGAACGAGCTCCCAAGTAGCATTATGGTCAAGAGCCTGCATTTCTGCAATCATGGCTTGTCGCCATCCAGGGTAATCAAGTGCTTCTTCCACATTTCTCGGAATAGCAATAGAAGATACTGAGGATAAAAGGGAACAATAGGAAGGCGACAACCGGTGATAGCTAAGAAAATTATAAATAGGATGTGGATTTCGAGTGGAACGAGTACCTTTTCTCAGAACAATGGGTCATCCTGAATCACCTCCACCAGGAGTCATGGTAGGAAGCGATGTTGGAGAAGAATCTAAAGTGGGGGATTCACCCTCGTCTTGGAGAACAGGACTAGCCATCGGGGTCCTATGATTGACAACATCAATTTGAGGGGAGGATGGTTCAGGAAGACTTGGATCACTACGGAGATCGATAGAGACATTGGAAATATTAGACTCAACTACTAGAATGGGAAGAACTTGCTGTATGACATGAACATCTTGAACAGAAGGAGAAAAGTAAGGAATCTGTTCAAAAAATGTAACATTGGCAGACATGTAGTACTTCTTGGTTTCAGGAGAGTAACACCGATACCCTTTTTGAAGGCGGGAATAGCCCAAGAAGACACATTTGATAGCACGAGCAGAAAGCTTGTCTAACCCGGGAGACATATCATGAACAAAACATACACAACCAAAAACTCGAGGAGAGGTGTGAAAGAGAGGATTATTTGGAAATAGAATGGAGAAAGGGATCTTATTAGTGAGAGAGGAAGATGGCATCCTGTTAATAAGAAAACATGCAGTTAAGATGGCATCCCCAGTGATGGACAGGAATATGAGCACCCAAGCAAAAGAGTACGTGCAGCTTTCAACCAAATGTCTATTTTTTTCTTTCGCTATACCATTTTGTTGTGGTGTATGAGGACAGGTGGACTGATGCAATATTCCATGTGAACTCAAAACAGCAGAAAAGGTGGATGAGAAGTACTCTTTAGCATTGTCACTTCTTAAAATTTTGATTACTTGACTGAATTGATTTTTGATTTCATTCAAAAAGGATGTAAAGATGGGTAACAATTCAGAGCGATCTTTCATAAGATAAACCCAAGTACATCGTGAATATTCATCAATGAATGTAACAAAATACCGAAAACCAAAAGATGAGATGCGACTAGGTCCCCAAATATCAGAATGGATAATAGAGAAACTGGAAGTACACTGTGATTGAGATCGTTTAGGAAAGGTAGATCTAACATGTTTCCCTAGCTGACATGACTCACATTCTAAGGTCTGGAGACCACTAAGTTCAGGACACATTCTTTTTAATTTTGACAAATGAGGATGGCCAAGCCGATCATGTAACATTTTAGGGCTCGGAGTAGCAACACAGGACACACGTGGACGAGGGCCAAAAAGGTATAATCCTTCAGCTTCATATCCTTCTCCAATCTGTCTCCCCGAACCACGTTCCTATATAACAAAAGATTTGTTATCGAAGGTTATTGAACAATTTAAGGTTTTGGTTAACTAACTTAAGGAAATTAAATTGAAAGGACAATTAGGAATAAAAAGGACAGATTTTAGGCTTATGGAGGGAGATAAAGAAACTTGGCCCACTCCCTTTGAGGAAGCTTTAGAGCCATCTGCAAGGGTTATGAAATGTTGTTTTTCTTGAAAGGAAATGGTTGAGAATAAGGAGGTATTACCAGATATATGATCAGAAGCACCAGAGTCAATTACCCATGAATTTTGACCCTCCACAGATTGAGAAATACAAGCAGTTGATGTGCTGGCAGTTTGAGAGGTCTGTGCCAAGCTATTAGACTTTAAACGTAGATACTCTTGGTATTCGTCCTCAGTGAACTTGGAGTTGACGGTTTCAGCCTTCGAGACATTGGCGGTTTTGGGAGGAAAACCATGCAAGGAGTAGCAGTTCTCCTGTGTATGACCCATCCTCTTACAGTAGGTGCATTGGGGACATCCTCGACCTCCACGTCCTCCTCCTCTGGTGCCACGTCCTCCTCTTCCTCGTGTGGCAACCATGACAGATGGTTCTACTAGAGCCAGAGCTTCCTGAGCTCTGATACCATGTTAAGGTTCCAACATAAAACCAATTGGCAATATGTGGAGTAGCCTAACATGTATTTAAACCATACCAAATGATATGAGGTAGGCGATGTGGAACTTTCAACATGCCCTCTCCAACGAAGTCTGCCGGACCAGGCAAAGGGTACTTTTGACCCAACTAAAGGGCAACTTTTGGCCCATGACAATAACCGGAAAGATGTTAGGCTTTGGCTCTGATACCATCTTGATATTCAAAAATTGAGAAAAAGTGTTTTTAGAGGGCTTGAAGAACCCCTCTCATAGTTCTGTATTTATATAGATAAAAAATGATACAATAGGGAGATTACATTAAATGCACAGTCCTAGATTACTCCTCAGAACTAGGTGCAGAGATTATCTAACACTCAACCCCCTGCAGAGATTATCTAACACTCAACCTCCTACCTTAGGTATAATGATTACATATATTTTCTAATATACTCCAACAGTTTCTGTTGAATATAGGAAAAAACTGTATAGGGTTAATTTCCCTTATGTGTTTACCACACATATGGCAGTGTATTTATAATAAAGAAAGGTACTCCTCAAAAGAGTAACAAAATACAAATAGGTTAAATAAAAAGATATTATTTGATATTGTGATTAACAATATCTAACAATATCTCAACAATATCAAACAATATCAACTAATATCTAATCATATCTAACACTCCCCCTCAAGCTGGAGCATACAAATCGTATGTGCCTAGCTTGGTACAAAGATAATCCATCCTAGGTCCCCGTAAAGACTTAGTGAAAATATCTCGCTAATTGATCACATGAGTTAACGAACTCAGTCTTGATGTCTCCAGACATAATCTTTTCCCGAATAAAATGGCAAGTCAATCTCAATGTGTTTAGTCCTCTCATGAAAGACAGGATTAGAGCTTATATGGAGAGCAGCCTGATTGTCACACACTAGTGTCATTTGAGTGACATCTCCAAATTGTAGCTCTTTAAGCAATTGCTTGAGCCAAATAAGTTCACAGGTAGCTGAGGTCATAGCTCTATACTCTGTTTCTGCACTGGATCTTGCCACAACACTTTGTTTCTTACTTTTCCATGAGATCAAGTTACCACCAATGGAAACACAATACCCGGATGTAGATCTTCTATCAGAGGGAGATCCCGCCCAATCGAGCATCCGAATAGCAGACAACTCTTGTATGATTATGGGAGTCATACACCAAACCTTTTCCAGGAGACTTTTTGATGTACTTCAATATACGGATGACCGCATTCCAATGATCTTGACAAGGAGAAT